AGATGATACCACTCTGATGGCAGAAAGGGAGGAGGAATTAAAGAACCTCATAATGAGTGTGAAAGAGGAGAGCACCAAAAATGGTCTGAAGCTCAACATCAAAAAAAAAAACCTAAGATCATGGCCACTGGTCCCATCACCTCCTGGCAAATCAAAGGGGAAGATATGGAGGCAGTGACTGATTTTACTTTCTTGGGCTCCATGATCATTGCAGATGGTGACAGCAGCCACGAAATTCAAAGACGGCTGCTTCTTTGGAGGAAAGTGATGACAAACCTAGACAGCATCTTAAAAAGCAGAGACATCACCTTGCCAACAAAGGTCCGCATAGTCAAAGCTGTGTTTTTTTCAGTAGTGTTGTATGGAAATGAGAGCTTGACCATAAAGAAAGCTGACCACCGAATAATTGATGCTTTGGAATTGTGGTGCTGGAGGAGACTCATGAGAGTCCCCTGAACTGCAAGGAGAACAAACCTATCCATTCTAAACCCTGAGTGCTCACTGGAAGGACAGATCCTGAAGCTGTGGTTCCAGTACTTTGGCCATCTCATGAGAAGAGAAGACTCCTTGGAAAAGACCTGATGTAGGGAAAGTGTGAGGGCAAGAGAAGGGAACTACAGAGGATAAGATGGATGGACAGTGTCATCGAAGCGACCAACATGAATTTGACATAACCAAAGAAAAAAGGAAAGGAAAGGAAAGAAAGGAAAGGAAAGCAGACGTAGGCACAGGTTCAGAAGGATTCAAATGATAGTCACTTTCCCCACTGCCCTGTCTCTCCCAATTTTGCTGGAGCCAGCTAGGATGACATCAGATACAAAGGTCACAAAGTCACCTACATTGGTATAAATAATCACACTGTCTGAATCCATATGAATGCATTCAATTCCAAAAAAGTAGAAGACCCAGCAGCAGAGAAACTGACTACAGTGTGTGACGGGGGCAATTCTGGGCTGATTTGCATGGACATATAACCAATGGAAAGTACCACGAATCAGGTTGTTCCAGTATGGAATATTTCCCACATTATTTATCAGTGTAGTCACACTTTTAGTCAGATATGGGAGAAGGTACAGGTAAAGAAGCTGTTGCCAGGCAACAGGATTGCGAGCTAACTGCATAATAAAAACCCTGGTTTTCCACCCACTCCAGGACCTGCATTGCTCCAGCTATGAAAAGTCTTAAAGTAAAGAAAGGATAAGGGTAAGAAAATGAAATTATCAGTTAGGAAGAAAGGAGAAATAAGATAAATGTTTCTGGCTGAGTGGGTGCTCACATTCTTCTCTCCAGGTCTGTGCTGAAGGGGTGATGCTTTTTAAAAACGAAAGATGTCACTTGGAACTTGGTACCAAAAATAGCCAAATTGCTCCCAGCTGATATTGGGGATGATTTTGGAGTGGAAAATAGTAATAATAGGAAGAAATATACTGTAGGGGTTAATGGGAGCAGGTGTGACCCTCTAAGAAACAGGAGTGGGTATATATAGCACCAAGCCCTCTGGAAATGGCTTGTTTCTGTCTGTAATGTCCCTACACACTGAGGAAAATATGCAGTGATTATGCTGGCTGGATAGCTCAGTGGCTTATGTATAAGGCTGTGGAGCCACAATTTGGGAGCTCGATTCTCTACTCTTCCTCCTAGGAGAAGAGCAAGCTGTACAGTCCCAGGGCGACTCCAGAAGAAGGTAAGCCACCTCTGAGTACTCTCTGCCTAGAAAACCACAGAAAGAGCTATCATCAGTCAGAATTGACTTGATTGCACACAATTATTATTATTATTATTACATTGTTCTAACCCTCCACAGCCCTGCACATACCTTTCCTTCCCAGCCATCTCTCGTCCTTCCCCTGGCTTTCAGCTTTGCCAAGCATAAGGCAGGAGAGGACAAGGGTGGTGGGACCCAGAAGAGTTTCACAAGGTTACTGGAATATTTGAAGAGAAAGGAATTATCTCTTTGTGATCTGCCATTGCCATGTAGGGCATGTATGGATGTGAAAGCTGGATAATAACGGTGGACCAAATAATAATTATTTCATCTGTGGTATCAGAGGAGACCTTTACAGATTCCATGAGATCACCAGAAAGATACATGTATTAAAATACCAATCAGATGAACCTTGAACTCAAACTAGAAGCTAAAATAGCTTTCAGCACAAGACTCAACGAAAATCACAACACGGCTAGGAAAAGTAGAGGGAGTAGGAAAAGAGGAAGACTGAACATGAGATGGATTAAGTCAACAAATGAAACCAAAATGTTAAAGTTTCAAGACCCAAGTAGGCTTGTTAATTATATAAGCTTTTGGACGTCATTAATTCAGGTTGCCATAAATTGGAAGCAATTTGATGGTATGTAACGACGTGGTGGCGCTGCGGGTTAAACCGCAGAAGCCTCTGTGCTGCAAGGTCAGAAGACCTGCAGTCGTAAGATCGAATCTACGCAACGGAGTGAGCTCCCGTCGCTTGTCCCAGCTCCCGCCAACCTAGCAGTTCATAAGCATGCAAAATGCAAAAAGATAAATAGGTACAACCTCGGTGGGAAGGTAACATCGTTCCATGTCTAGTCTCACTGGCCATGTGACCACGGAGGATTGTCTGCGGACGAACGCTAGCTCTATGGGTTGGAAATGGAGACAAGCACCGCCGCCTAGAGTAGGACACAACTGGACAAATTGTTTAGGGGAATCTTTACCTTTTTAACAATAACAACTGCCATCCCCAGGAACTGTAGGTTGGCCTGTAGTATAAGTCATCTTACAGACACACCAATATACAGGAAGTCTACTGTAAAAAGCTATTCACCTGCTGATTCCATTAAAAATTAAAAAGAAAAAACAGAAACTATGATGTAATGGGATGCTGTGTCCAACCACTGTCCTAATAAAACTGAGCAACAAGACAGAGAACAGCTTCAGCCAGTCCAAGTAAAATTATAGAATTTATATTTCAAGTCAACTGATGACTATAAAAAGCATTCTTCTGATTTTTAACATGGCAATCCAGATATAATTTACTTCCTGCCGTTGATGGAATGGGATGCTGTGTCCAACCCCTGTCCTAATAAAACTGAGCAACAAGACAGAGAACAGCTTCAGCCAGTCCAATTAAAATTATAGAATTTATATTTCAAGTCAACTGATGACTATAAAAAGCATTCTTCTGATTTTTAACATGGCAATCCAGATATAATTTACTTCCTGCTGTCATAGATGGTGGACCGTTAGCTGGTAGGAGTGTTTTCTCTCCTCCACTTCGGTCTGGTCTTTTCTTTTTCCTTTTCTTTCTTTTTCCTTCTTTTCTGGCTGCTTTTGCTTCACTCAGTTTATCCTTCGCTTCACTTATTTTATTTTTACTTTATTTAGCCTACTTAGCTTATTTTTTTAACTTATAATCTTTCTGAGTTTCTCTCCCTGGTTTCCTGCCTTGCTGGGACTGCTTCAGAGGCTGCCGAGAGAGCTGGAGGAGGCGGAGGGAGAGACCTCACCTTGGCCTGGCTTGTCAGTGAGGCAGAGTTTGGCGTCCCGGGAGTTTATGCCGTTGCTGCTTGCTGCGGGGGTTGGGAGAGCTTGCCTTTCGTTCCGTGGTGGCTGGAAGAGCTTAAGCCCTTGGAAAACTATCGTCCTTGGTGGGCCTGGCACTGGGGGCCTCGGGAGACGTGGCCCAGCGTGGAAGGGTCCAGTAGAGCTTGCCGGTTCGAGAGCTAGAACCCCCGGAAGCTGTGGACGCTGTTCGAAGGAGTCGGGTGATCCTGTGCTTAGGAAACTGAGAGACTGAGAGTGAAATCTGATACCGGCTGGCTGTGTTCTTTCTCAGAGCTTCCCGGAGGGCCAGATTGGAACTGTGTCTCTTTGCTATTATTTATGGCTACAGAAGCCCAGCTTTCAGCAGTGGACCCTGAAAGGTTGAATGGGGAATTCTCCTTTCAACTCTCTAACGCCGAGAGAACCAGCATAGGTATCATGTCCTCAGTGGCTCTCCTCCTTTCAATGCTTTATCGAGCTTTGCCTCTGACTGTCTGGGTGGGGGCTCTTGCCCCCATGAACTTGAACTCATATCCAACGACCACTCTGAGGAAAACAAGATCTTCTCCTAGGGTGCTGCAGGACAGGACTAATTATATGGAGGGAGAAGCTTGGGTTTATTTTCTCTGCTTATTCAATATATTAATTTTTGTTGTTTTTTGTTTTATTCTGTATTATTCCATTCGTTGTCATTAGCTTGCCCCATTCTATTTACTGTTTAATCCATTTAAAACAAATGCACACTTTAAATTTCAATATTATAATTATTTAAATTGTATAATTTGAATTTTATTGAATCTTCTAATTTACTGAATCTTCTAATTTGGATATAATTTGGAGAAGTAATGTGGGGTGGGTTACTCTTCTGTTTAATTTAACATATTATATTTTTGTTTCATGTTTTAAGGTTACTATTAGATATTATACGTTAATTTGTTATTATTGTTTATTGTATCATTGCATTATTATTATTATTTTTCTTTGTTCTTTTTCTTCTTTTTTCTATCCCCCTCTTTCTCCGCCCCCCTTCTTGACATGGACAGGAGGGCCTGTTTCCCCAGCGAGGTGTCTAATATCGGTGTGATAACAGGTAGAGGGAGGTATAAAGGTGTTGGCACAGTGCCTACTCGTGTCAGAAGAACAGTGAACAGATGTCTGAAGGCTGTTCACTGTTCTGACACTGTGACCAACTGCCAAAATCGAGGTAGGCAGCCCAGCTGGCCCTCCACTCTGAAGTTGGTGCTTCTGAACGCCAGGTCTGTATCCAATAAATCCCAGCTTATACAAGACCTTATTCTGGATGAGGATGCAGACCTGGCATGCATAACTGAGACCTGGATGGGTAGGGAAGGAGGGGTCCCTTTGACCCTTTCCTGCCCTCCGGGTTATGCAGTGCAGCACCAGGGCAGACTGGAGGGGCGGGGGGGGAGTTGCCATTGTTTATAGAAAATCATTAGAGGTTACTAGGCGCTCCTCGCTTGTGAGGCC